TCTGGCTCAGGATCTGGCTGAGGCCAGGCCCTTTGGGGAAAAGCAACTTTTAAATAAATGCTTCAAGATTGTGCAAACATTTCAGTAGTATTGGAGGCCTGGCGTTCTGGGTCAGGGAGGGAAAAAAATACCCGTCAATCATTCTAGAGATGAAAACCTGATAGCAGAGTGGTTGGTGAGGAGTGGGGCTTGGGTTGCACATCTCAGCTGTGGCTGGCTGGGACCCAACTACACTTAAGACCTCTCTCCAAAAATTCATTTGCATGTTAATCAATAGAGCAGCCTGTCGGACAGGCACAGAGAACACAAGCAGCTCACAATGTGATGTGTGTGATGCGTGCAGAAAGGACAGAACTCAAGAGGCACACAGACCTGGGTGTGAGCCCTGGCTCGGCTGCTGATTAGCTCTGTAGTCTTTGTACATTATTTAGCTTGACTGAGCCTCAGTTTACTCATTGGTAAAATAAGGTAATAACATCAATCTTATCAAGATGCTGTGAGAATTAAATAAAACACAGATTAACAACAGAAAACCTGGCCCAAAGCAAGAGCTCAGGGATATAAATCATGACAACATCATGAGCTTCCATTTATCAAGCGTTTTCTACAAATAGAGACGTGTGTACATTTCCAGCCATCCTCCAAGCATGCCCTGCTTGGCCATCATTCACAAGCATATCCTCTGCGCCATCTGCAACTAGCTCTCTCTTGTGCAAGAGTGGGGATCAACCCCTGAACTCAGGAGCTCGTGGTCTTGAAACAAAGATGCTCTGAACTCACAGACCATAAGCTGGGCCAGAGAAATGTGTACACAGCCTGGAACAGGGAGAGAGAGAGATGGTTCTGTGCAAGGATTCCAGCCAGCTTCTGTGGAGAGGGGAGATTTGATCCAGGTTTTGAAGATGAGTAAAATATCCACAGGTAGGCAAGCAGGCACTGGAGAAAAGCATTCCAGATGGAGAGACTGGCTTAAGCAAAGGCTCTGAAGCAAGCCCTGTATGCAGCAATTTAGGACATAGGGAAGAGGGGCATTTGGAAAACAAAACTGGCAAAGTCAGGTTGAAGTCAAAGCGCAAAGAATCCTGCACTGAGAGGGTCCAACTTGGTTCCCTGGGCCAGGCAAGTGTCCCTTCCTGCTCCCTGGATTCTCCTCCCAGCAGCTGTGTAACTAAGGCAGTTGCTCAATCTGTCTGTATATCCCCGTCATCCCTTCCCAACCTGCCTCAAAGAGCTCCCTCCTTTAAGAAGGTCAAGGTGCTCCACCAACACTGGGTACCATTATTTTACATGTACACACACACAGAAACATGCGTCCACGTATTCGCATGTGCACACACACACACGCGGACACGGGCTCAGGAACCAGAGAAACTTGACTTCAAACCCAGCTTTTCCATTTGCTGCTGCAGGACCCTGAGCCAGGCATGCATTTGTTGCATATAAAGGGCCAGTACAGTGCCTGGCACACAGTAGGCACACACGATACAGTTATCATCCAACACATCAACAAACTCAAACTATCTGTTTCTACTTCAAGGAGAAACTACCACCTAATAGGGTCAATTCTGAGACTGTGTGGTCCAGGAATCAATCCCCTACCCTCTCATCATACATATGGGGAGACAGGCTCAGAGGAAGAAAGCATAACCAGCTTGGAAGCAGGGAACAGAGGAGCGCATTCACAGAAGTTTCCTGGAATGCCCAACCATTGTGCTGAGCCTTGGAGAGTGAGTAGGACTCCCCAGGTGGGTCCAGGTGGGAAGAGCACGTCAAGCAGAGGGAATGGCTTGAGCATGTGCCCAGATATTAGGGATGAAATTGGAGAAAGACAAGTCATCTCTTCTGTCAGGGCCTGTGCTGGAGGGTGGAGAGATGGA